CCTCTTCAGTGCTGTGTATTACAGGTGAACACTACCTCATGTTACTGCTATTGAATTGTTTGTTACAGGGACCACACTGTGTCAATGCAATGCCTGAAGCATTTGAATAGTGTGTCGGGCTATACTTCATCCTCCACCCTGCGTTTCTGCTTCATGTGTTGCTTTGGCTATTCTACATGTCTTGCATTTAAACATGGATTTTATATCAGTTTCTCAGTTTCTACTAAACACCTTTTCAGTATTCCCAACAACATGTCATTGAATCTGTGGAAAAATTTGGGGAAAGTTGACATCTTAACAACCTTACCTGAGCTAAGCTTCTAACAAAGAATATCTCTCATTTCCTTACATCTTGTTTCATTTTTCATTTGTTTCTCATGCCCTTTTCATTCTTTATTCAATGTGTCTTTGTGCATATAATTTTGCAGATATTTTTGTATGCTGTTGGTTTTGGCATTTGGTTGTTAGCTGATTAAATATCAGAACAATTTGGTTTTCCTGTGTCAATGCTGGGTCCTGAAGCAGAATGAGGGTTATTATCTGATGAATTAAAAAATAATTTCCTTTTTATTTCCTAAGTAGATGATAATGCCATGTTTGTTATCAATATTATTTTTTGCAGTTCTTGATATCTGCTCCAAGGTCTTGTTCATGCTGATCAAACATTCAATCAGCAAGGAACAAATCTACTGTTCTGCATTATTTTTCAGAAGTTGGTGTGCTGCAGTTAGTTGATTTTAATATTTTCATTGTGACATTTTAATATATGTATATGACAAAATTTGATTTTAATTACTTCACATTATGCTGTCTTGTCTGCCTGTCACCCTCACTTTTGCTGATCCCCTATATTCCCTCCAAAGTACTCAAGTCATGAGTTTAATTAGGGTTGCTTACAAGAACGCTGCGTGAGGGTTATTTCCCTGAATTGGGAGCACCTCATCAGTAGAATAAACAGTTCTCCCTCGTCCAGAAAGCATTAACTACCTATAGATTCTTCATGTTGGTTGGGTCTCCTGAGCCCTTCCCCCATCAACTGCTTACTGTCTACAAATCCTCATGAGTGGAGGGTCCTCATGAATTTCTAACTCCTTCAGGATACCATGACAAAGGTTAATCACATTCAAGTAATCACCACTGCTCAAAGTTCCAGAGAGCAATGTCTTTGCCCTGCCCTAGAGACCTTGGTCTCTATGACTGCACCTTTTCCTCCACCTCTTATATTTTTTCCTGCTCCCTCGTCCATAATGCTTCTCAACCCATAAAAGGGGTGCAATGATTTCCTAATTAGGAGTGAGCAGCCAACAGTCCCTTACTCTCAATGCTTTGACCAGTTAAGAGTTTTACACTCTTTGTGTCCAAGTGCAAAAACAGTTTCTCTGGCCAAGTCTAAAAACGCTGTGACGTGGGGGCATGAGCATAAATGCTTACATGGCAATTTGCCTTGATATTATTTTGTATTTCAGGAAGGCACTTACCTTTTATACACAAATTTCTAATTTTTCAAACGAGTATGTGTTTAATGTGTGTGTATATAATCCTGCATGAGTTTATATGCACCACATGTATGTAGGAGCTGGTGGACTCTAGAATAAGGCTTTGAATTCCCAGAGCTTGAGCAGCAGGTGGTTGTGAGCAGCCATGTGGGTTCTTTGTCAGAAACATGTGGTCTTAGCGGCCTGAGACATCCTCCAGACACAAAAGTGCCATTTTAAAGTGCATGTTACATTCATACCTTTCCCTAAAATATAGAAAATGAACACAGGAGTTATTCTGCAAGAGCTTTCATTGGACCTTCACTGTCAGCATCAGTAAATGTTTAGAAGGTTCCCAATCAGAACCTGCAGCCCTGTCCTTAAGATGTGTGCACCTTCTTGTCAAAAATGAGACGGGAAATATCTACTGGCATCTAGGGAAAGAGCTCAGGGGTACTGCTAAATCTACAATGTATAGAAAAATGCTCACAGAAAGCATCACGCAGCCTATCCTGGCTGGGGTTGCAAGTACCAGGAATACTGCACACAAGAAGATGTATGCAGACGTGCTCCTCACAAAATATAAGCATGCAGAAACAGCTAGATGAGAGCAGATATAGCAGAACAGAGATCATTTCAATTTCACACACATTCCATCTTTCACCAAATCCGGTAATAGCTCTATCTTTCTTGTAGTCTGAAACTTCCATGTACTCCTGTTTGGTAAATTTGACATTGTCTGTGTCGGCTCTCTATTTGGCCTGCGTCTCAGTTTGCTTCCTCGTGCTGTGATAAAAACCATGACCAAACGCAACATGGGCAGGAAAGTGTTTCTTACATTTTGTAGGTTATAGTTCATTATGGGAGAAGCCAAGGCAGGAGCTCAGAGTGGGGAACTGAAACAGACTCATGGAGGAACTTCCTTGTATCCTCCTCCTGGCTTGGTCAGTCTGCTTTCTTGCACATCCTAGGTCTACATGCCCAGGGCTGGCACTGTCTGCAATGGGGGTTGTTTCTCCCACATCACATGCTACTCAAGAAAATTCCATGCAGATATACCTATAGGTCAAGTTGACGGAGGTAGTTTGTCAACTGAGATGACCTGTCCCCAAACATGCTAGATTGGTTTCAACTTGACAAAAAACAACTAGCAGGATTTATGAGATTATTCTGACATATGTACAATGGGGACTCAGCCAGACTGGTCACAGGGCAAGGCCGCTTCTAGAGCAAGACTGGGCAGGTGGGGGACAAATCTCAATTTTGTTTGCTTTGGTGATAGTTTCCCCTGGTGTGATTTTGTTTCTTGCTGCCTCAAATATGGCCCAGATTTTGTTGCCCCTTTATCTTGCCAAGCCTGATTTTGTTTAAAAGCTTTCATTCAGCCAGGCAGTGATGGCACACACTTTTAAGCTCAACATTCCAGAGGTAGAGGCAGGCTATCTCTGTGAGTTCAAGGTCAGTCTGATTGAGTTCCAGGACAGCCAGGACAGTTACACAGAGAAATCCTTTCTCGAACCCACCACTAAATGTATTTTCCTTTTTTTAGGTGTGTGTGTGTGACAGAGAGAGAGAGAGAGAGAGAGAGAGAGAGAGAGAGAGAGAGAGAGAGAGAGAGAGAGCATGTATGTGCGTGAGTGTGCATGCAGGTGGTCCTTATGGAAGCCAGAGGCTTCCCCCTGGTGCTGGATATTCAGGCAGTTGTGGTCCACATGTAGTGGTTACTGGGAACCCAATTCACACTCCTCTGCAAATGTACTAGACCTTTTTTAAATTTTTAAAATTACTTTAATTTTAAATAGCTTGCTTCATATGTTAATCACAGTTCCCTCTCCCTCCCCTCCCCCAGCACCCCCCCTACACTCTACCCCCAGCCTCCCACCCTATCCTCACTTCCTTCCACTTAGAGAATATCCAGAGTCTGTCATTTCACTCAGGGCAGGGTCCAGGCACTCCCCTAAGAGGCCAGGTTGAGAGAGCATCCCTCTTTGCACTTGGCTTCTGTTAATGTTTGAGCCTCTAATGCCTGGGTGATTTAATGAGATTGTTTGAAAACAATTGTAGAAACATAAACTTCTGCCTGGTGGTGGTGGCATTCATCGTTAATCCCTCCACTTTAGAGGCAGGGGCATGTGAATTTCTGTTAACTGATTTCATCTCTTCTGGGAAGGGCATGACCCAGTGAACCCAACACTCTATGACAGGATGGTGAGAGAAACACTGTGTGCCAATATTTCCAGGTAGTGCCCATGTGTTTTCTTCCTGTGCTCATCACAGCTGAAAAAGGATTTCATTATTTGTACATAAATGAAAAGAAACCCAGCAACTTAAAGGGAAAGGAATGACCTAAGTACCGCATGTTTCCAGGACAATAATGTTTGTCTTTTATTCTGCTTCACCGACATTTGAGCAAGCAGAAAAGATGTGCATGTAATTAGGGTGTGGTACAAAGGCAGTTGGGGAAGAGAAGCACTGATCAGTCCACAGGTTCAGGGAAAGGCGGCCATTCTGTGAACCACGGGGCCCCACAGATAAGCTTGTGGTGGACTTTGTGAACAGTAAATAGGAGAGTGAATAGAAGGGAGGACACAGCTGTGCCGTGCTGGTGTGTGCAGATGAATGCAGGGGATGGAGAAGAAAGAAACGAGACACACTGATCTGTGTCAGAGCATGTGGTGCCAGGTGTGGATCACATGGGACGCTGGTGACAAGACTGAGTTGGTATTGGGCAAGGTGGCACAGGCATGGACTCTGCTTGCAACAGGAGGTGGTGCTGGTCACTAATCCTGAGCTGCCATTTCTCCTTCCCCAGTCTTGCTGGAGAGAGTCTATGTCCAGTTAGCTGAAAGCAAACAGTTTCTGATGTTGGGGACACTACACTTTTACTTTCTTGTTTATTTTTATTCATGTGTGGTAAGTGTACACTTACGTTGTATTCCTATGCGTGGCTGCAGAGGGCAGAGGATTGTGTGATATTCCATACAGCTGGAGTTACAGGTGTTAGTGAGCAACCCAGTGTGGGTGCTGGGAACTGAACTCAGGTCCTCTGAAAGAACAGCACGTGTCACTGAGCAGGCTCTCCAGACCCCTCTTTTTCCCTGTTGTTTCTCATTTGTCATTTGGCTCTGAGACAGTGTCCCTTTCTATAGTGAGGGAAGGTCTGGGTGTCATGATCATAGACACCTGAGATTATATGCATGCCTCACACCCAGATGTAAACACTGTTTACATGAGACAGTCACGATATTGAGTACTTTCACTGTGATCCACCCTTTGCATTGATCTTCAATTGTACCCTCACTGCCCTCCAACTCTAGGATCCTTAACCCTCTAACCTCTGGGAGGTCGCAGAGGAAGCTCCCAATTCATAAACAGTCAGATGCCTGTGAGGGCTGCTCTGGGCTGGGACTGAGGAGCAGGCAGTTCCCAAGTGTAGAAGACATGCTGAAGGAGACCACAGGGGCAGGCTTGGGTAGAGGAAGCCCTGTCATTTCCGGTCAGGAGAGAGGACTATTTCACAGAGCAGAGACTTTCTGGTCTATTCCGCAAGGGGAGTGAGTGTCAGAATGCAAGTGTTGGAGGCTGTGTGGGAGGATGCCCAGGGCAGGCATCACCTGAACCAATGAAGACATGAACACGTTTCAGTGGTCTGGGCTACTGATTGGAGATCCAGAGAAACCGCTGCTCAGGTCAGTAACTTATCACATTTGTGCTGTTTTTCGGTGACACTCCTCTAACCTTAAGAATGCAGGGACTGAGAAAGGACCTGCCTGGTAGTGTACATCTGGCTAGGAGTTCGTGGTTGGGGAGCTCACATCCGGCAATGAACTCCCGAGAATTGCTTTGATAAACAGACACAGTATGGCGCTGACGTCTAAACTGGTATCTTTATACCCGTAGAGTTGTGTAGCTCTCTCTCACTGTTCATCGGGGAAGTTTCTTTGTGCAGTGGACAGCGGCTGATCACAACTGATCAAAGTGCAGAATAAGTGTGTGTTTAGCCACACCAGGGACATCTGTGTTATGGCACCTGTAGTCAAGGACCCGGGGAGTACTGCAGAAGAGGTGACAGAAAGGCCTTAGAGGAAGAAGACAGGGAGGATCTGTGGTTCCTTCTGTCTTTGCTTACTTAGTGTTAGGACTACATTTATGTGCCTCCATGCTTGAGTCATTCACATTTTCCCTCCTCTTTTGGAAACAGGGAAAAATGACCCCAGACTTGAAGTCATCTTACTGTGTGAGTATGTGTTGTATTTTTTGATGAATGTATATGTATGTTAATGTGCACAGTGTACATGAATGTCTATGCACCTACATGTGGAGAACAAAGGTTGGTTGTGAGCTCTTCACCTTATTTTTGATATATGATCTCTCACTGAACTGTTCATTCATATGCTGTCTCCCTTGATTGGCCAGTGAGCCCTGGAAATAATCCTGCCTCTGAAATCCCCACACCATGCAAGGGATAAGTTGATGCATGAGCGTGCACACATTTTCATCTGGCACCTGGAACCCCATACTCAGGTCCTCATGCTTATGCAGAAGGCACTTTACTACCCGAGCCATCACCTTTCTCATGTTTCTGCATCCAGCTTCCAAGTACCTGGGCCTAGAGCCACATTCAGTCATTCTGTGTTCTGGTTATACAATTTCACAATCCTAGAAGCAATGTCTGTGTGGACCAGCTCCTCCATGTATCTGCTGACACCTAGTATGCCATGTGCTAGTTAATCGAGATTGCTGAATTGACATGCTCTAGAAACACCTAGCGGGAAGTTTCAGGTATGCCATTGAGGGAATGCCTGGATTAGGTTAGTTGAAAGGTTAAGACATACCCACTGTGGCTGATACCATTCCTTATGCAATAGTCCTAAGCTGAATATACAAAGGGTATGCAAACTGAGCTTTCATCCTTCTCTACTTGCAGGCTGGAGAGAATATATGACTACCTGCCTCAAGCTCCTGCTACCATCGTTTAACTGTCGTGATGGAATGTACGCAAAAACCGTGAACCAAAATTACGTCTGCCTTCCTTCAATTGCTTTTGTCGGGGATTTTCTCGTAGCAACAATACAAGAAACTAATGGAACCTGTCATTTTAATAGATGTATAGTGGTTTCTTATATTTAAACAAGCATTTACTTAATGGCAGCGATATTGTGTTCATATTTGTTACCCGAAAATCTTTGGCTCAACTCTTAAGGTTTTCTCTTCTTTATTCTGTTTTGTTTCTGGAAATCTAGGAATCAAACTCTGGTGTTTTGCCAGATAGGCAATTTGCTACCAATGATCTACACTCCCAGACTTTATTGATTTGTGGCTTGTGCATTTGGTGTCAGATCTAAGTAACATTTGATTATTCGTAGATTGAGAAATTTGTTTACTGTATTTATTTCTGAAAGCTCTATACTCTTACATTTTACAATGTTGGACTGACGATGTAAAATGAGTCACACCAAGGATACTGGGCAGGGGAGTCATATGATACTTTATTAGAGAGAAGTCACTTACGTGAGAAGCCGAGAACTGAGGTCAGCACTGTGCTCATCTCTGACCTCGATCGCAGCCCCAAGAGAATGAGTGCCCCTTCCTCCTTCCCTTTATCCCTCCTACCTCCACGTACCTGTGACCACGTTCAAATGGGCATGGTCAGTGTTTCGTGTACATGAGATCTCTCCCTACATTGGACTCTGAGTCTGCTTTACTTTTGGATATGATGAGAGGCAGAGATTCAAGAATTTTCAGGCCAGACATTGGTGGCACAAGCCTTTAGTCCCAGCACTCAGGAAGTAGAGGCAGGCAGATCTCTGTGAGTTTGAGGCCAGCCTGGTCTACAGAGTGAGTTCCAGGACAGGCTCTAAAGCAATACAGAGAAACCCTGTCTCGAAAAGAACAAAAAAATTTCAGTTGCCTGCTGATATTCACAGCACCATTCACTTCATTAAACTCTCTCTCTTAAAATTGTTGCTTTTGGTTGCCCCAAGATCTTGGGATAAACACTTTTTCTGAACCTGACTTTGGTCTCTAGTCATGGAAAAATCAAGTTGGTGCATGATTTGTCAGCTGTAATCCCTGTGAGGTACAATAATGACCACCATAGCAAGATATGCACAAAGGTGCACAGGAGGGTGGTTATTGTCTTAGTCAATGTTCTGTTGCTGTCAAGAGACACCGTGACCATGGCAACTCTTAGAAAGGAAAACATTTAATTGGGGTGGCTCACTTACAGTTCAGAGTTCAGTCCATTATCATCCTGACAGGGAGCATGGTGGCATGCAGGCAAACATGGTGCAGGAGTAGTAGCTGACAGTCCTACATCTTGTAGGCAACACGAAGTCGACTGAGACACTGAGCAGTATCCTAAGCATAGAAAACCTCAAAGTCCACCCCACCAGTGACACACTTCCTCCATCAAGGAAACACCCACTGCAAAAAGCTACACCTCCTAATAGTGCCACTCCCTATGTGATTATGGGGATCATTTACACTCAAGCTTCCACAAATGTTATGGAAGTAACCAATAGATTTCTGGTTGGAATTAAGGCCTCCACAGGAAGAATCACTTGTGTGGTGTGGTAAATCTGGCCAAGAATGCAAGACTAGGAAGCTCACAGGCCTCAGGAATAAAGATACTAGTATTACTTTGCTAAATTGACATAGTATCAAATTACCTTGCAAATTCCCATCTCTTTATTCATGAGTTAGTGTAGCTCTCAGACCCCATCATGAAAAGCAATTAATGCAGTAAGTCACAACTGGTCAAAGTGCAGAGAACTGTATGTGTGGAAAGGGAAACCACAAATGGGACATCACATACAATTTCCCCACCCCAAGGCTAAGGGAAAATTAGGAAAGGAGAGACAAAAGACTATAAATCCCTATATCGAGGAGGAGGAGGAAAGACTGGAGCAAAAGGGTGTTGTCCTAACATAACAGGGCCACTGAATCCATGAATTCATAGCAATTGTGGTTGCCTGTACAAGACCCAAGCAAGCCCAAGTCAGTCAATTCTAGTGTAGGGGAGAGGGTCAATAAGTCTCCACCCCTAGTTGGCAAAAAAAAAATGCAACTGATAATTTCTGGAGAAGAGACAAAGCCAGTTTTTTTTACGGGTGTGGACCCATCCTCCAGTGGATGACAATATACCCATGACTATATAGGCAGGACAATTTGGATTCAGTAGGCTATTAAAAAATAAACAAGAGGAAGTGGTGTAAAGGTCATTATCCAATATGGAAAGATATAGGGAAGAGAGCAGGGGTGGATATTATTAAAATACGTTATGTGAATGTATGGAATTTTCAAATGATAAATTTTTATATTTAACTTTTTCTGCTGACCTATGTGGAACTTTGTATCTGAGCTACATTCCTTTGTCTTTAGTTGCTTTTTTATTACTTTAATTTTAAATAGCTTGCTTCACATGTCAATCTCAGTTCCCTCTCCCTCTCTTCCTCCCACCCTATCCCCACTTCCTTCAACATAGGGGATATCTAGAGTCTGTCATTTCACTCAGGGCAGGGTCCAGGCACTCCCCCAAGAGTCCAGGATGAGAGAGCATCCCTCTTTGTTTTATGGACACACGAAGTCCGTTTGTATGCCAGGGATAAACACTGATCTACTACCCAGGGCCCCATAGGTTGCCCAGGCCTCCTCACTGACTCTCACATTTCGGGGGGGGTCTGGATCAGTCCCATGCTGGCCTCCCAGCTGTCAATCTGGGGTCCAAGAGCTCTCCCCTGTTCAGATCACCTGTCTCTGCTGGTTTTGCCAGCCCATTCTTTGCCAATTTGCTCTTCGCCCTCTCTCCCTGTCACTGAGTTCCATGGGTTCAGTTCAGTGTTTAACTGTGGGTGTTTGCCTCTGCTTCCATCAGTCACTGGATGAAGGCTCCAGGATGGTTATTGACATCAAGTTCATTATCAGGAATGGGCATTCGAGGTGGTCTCTACACTATTGCTTAGCTTGCCAATTGGTGTTATCATTTTAGATCACTGGAGGTCATTCTGGTGCCTGATCCGTCTTCTAACCTATGATTCCCTCTTCCCTCTAATCTACCCCCACTCAACCTTCCTGTTCCCCTATGAACTACTCTCTCTTCCTCTTGTTCCCCTCTCTTCTTCTCAGCTCCAACTCCACCCCACCCCTCACCGTGTTCCCAATCTGTTCAGAAGATCTTATCTCTTTCCTCTTCTCTGGGGTACCATGCATATCTCTCTTAGGTTCTTTCCTGTTTCCCAGACTCTCTGTCAGTGGAAGTGCAGACTGGCACTATCCTGATCCATGTCTAAAATCCATGTATGAGTGAGTATATACCATGTTTGTCTTTTTGTGACTGGGTTACCTCACTCAGGATGGCTTCTTCTAGTGCCATCCATTTACCTGCGAATTTCAAGATTCCATTTTTTTTCTGCTGAGTAGTACTCTATTGTGTAAATGAACCACATTTTCTCTATACACTCTTCAGTTGAGGGGCATCTAGGTTGCTTCCAAGTTCTGGCTATTACAAATAATGTTGCTATGAACATAGTGGAGCAGATGTCCTTGTTGTATGAATTTGCATCTTTTGGATATATGCCTAAGAGTCTTGTGGTAGACTGATTCCCATTTTCCTGAGGAATCTCCATACTGATTTCCAAAGTGGGTGTACGAGTTGGCACTCCTACCAGCAGTGGAGGAGTGTTCCCCTCTCTCCACATCCTGTCCAGCATAAATTGTCTTCGGTGTTTTTGATTTTAGCCATTCTGACAGGAGTAAGATGCTATCTCAGAGTTGTTTTGATTTGCATTTCCCTTATAGCTAAGGATGCTGAGCACTTTCTTAAGTGTCTCTTGGCCATTTTAGCCTCCTCTATTTTATCTTTAAAGAGGTACAGTAACATTGTGCTACTCACAGAGCCCTAAAATTTTGATGTCAAATAATCCTCCTGCCTTCACTTCCTGAGTAGACAGGATTCCATTTAGGAAACACACCTGTCTCTCTTTGTATTTGATTTGTTTAAAATAAGAGTTCTTCTATGTATCCTTGGGGAGCATGCAACTTCCTGTGTAGACCAGGCTGGTCTTCAACCAGTGTTCATTCTGGTTGATCTGTCCCAGGACCATCTGGTATCAATGACTGAAGTATTAGAATAGCAAAAGTCAAGTTGTATCTCATCCTCCACCCTTGTGTTTCTGCCTTGTGTTACTTTGACTATTTATTTTGCATGTTTTGCATCTCAGTATGAACTGTACAATCAGCTTCTCAGTTTCACCAAACATCTTGCTAGTATTCTCATTGATATGTGAATAATTTTGAGGAAAGTTTACATTTTAACAATCTTTAGTGTACTAACCACAGAATAATGTATCTCTCCATTTTTTAAATCTTGCTTAGTTTCCCATAGCCCTACCTATTGTAACTTTAATTGTATGTACCATTTTCATCCTTACCTAAATATGTCTTTGTGTGCATCTTTGTATATTAATACTTAATTGTTAATTGCTTGAATGTGGGAATACGTTGATGTAAAGAGAAGCCTTCCTGCCAGCCTGGTTCCAGAGCAGCATCAGTCCCAAATAAACACACAGGAGGCTATATTAATTATGAAGCTGTTGGCCTTGCTTGTTTCTTACTGGCTAGCTCTGACTTAAGTAATTATCCCATAATTGTTAATCTAAGTATGTCTCTTACCGGAGAAATTTCCGGGCTTCTTATCCCTATGGCAGTCACATCTTGACTCCCTGTGTTTCTTTTACCCAGAGTCCTCCTGGACTCTTAGTCCCACCTATCTTCCTTCCCTATTTGATGCTGTAACGATAAACGGCACACTTACTGAAAGTAAAACTAAGTATTTATTGTAGAAATTACTCACAAGAGACCAAACAAGAACCCAGATGAGCCAAGTAGTTTTCTGCCACCAAACTGGAAGCCAAAAGCTGGAAAAAGAGACCAAGACTTCCGTTGTTCAATCTTTTATACCTTCCCCTGTAACGCCCCCTAGCCAGGCCCAAAAGTGACGTAGTTTACCGCCTACGTATGTATATAGGTCTTTACGTCCGTCCGTATAAGTCTTTAGTCATGCCTAAAGTGGGTGTGGTTAGCGGTGTGGTAAACCGCTCTTTTATTACCTCATCTATATGTGCCTCTAGTAAGTCACATGGTTAATGGCGGCATTGTTTTCCTCCTACACCTATTGGCCAACAGTGCTTTATTGACATATATACAGGACTTCCCCCATCACGTTGGCTTTTCTATTTGAATCATGTGCGATGTGTTTAGGATTCAGGCGTTATGCTGGCCTGCCACCTGTCACCTGGCAGGATGCACTCAGGCAGTACCCTGGTCAGCCCAGAGTCCTATAGCTGCTATATCCTTATGTAATCTGCACAAAGTTGCAAAGGTCGCTTTAATAGGCAAACTCTGCCCCACTTTCTCTCTCTGTCTCTGTCTCTGTCTCTGTCTCTGTCTCTCTCTCTCTCTGTCATCTCTCTGAGGATGCAAACATCTCTATCTGTCTCTCTGTCTCTCCCCTCTCCCTTTACTCTCTATCTCTATCTTTTTCTTCTCTCCCCCCTCCCTTCCCGCATTCCCTTCCCTTCCTTCCTATGTAAGTTCTACCTGATGGCATGTTTGTCCCCTACCATGGTATCTTCTGGTCTCACCTCTCAACATATTCCTAACATCTTGAATCAATGCTAGGGTCATTGTGCCGAGTTTTACAATTTTTACTTTTTCTTAGAGAATTTTGCATGATGGTTTTTGGTGATAATCACACTTCCTTCTTCCCAGCTAATCCCAGACACCTCCCCTTTACAAATTATCCTACTTTGTGTCCTTTAAAACCTACTCATCAAGGACCAGCAAGATGACTCAGTGGGTAAAGATACTTGCTGCCAGGCCTGATCCCTGGAACCCACGTGGTGAAAAGAGGACTGACTCCTGAAAGATGTCCTCTGACCTCCATACGAGCACCATGGCAAAGTCATACACCCATACCCATAAATAAATAAATAAATATTTTTAAAAGCTCATCAAGACCAGTTTGTTCTGCCCAAATATTCTTAGATGTGTAGCCTTCCACTGAAGTTTGACATACCAGGGCTATACTGTCAGAGAAAAGTGACTCTCCTTCTCCCGGCTGCCTATTGCTCCTGGGCTAGCAACAGGTCATCATGCCCAACTATCCTCTCCATGTGGGGGTTTGGTTTGACATGTGTATACAGAAGTCTTTTGCGTGCTTTACCAGCCTCTATGAAACTAAATACTTCATCTTATTATATTTTCTTTTGTTATGTTTGGTTATTATCTCTTGGAAGCCTGTTCTTTTCTAATGAGAGACAGAAAGGGAGTGGATCTGGATGGGAGAGGAGGTGGGAAGGAACTGGGAGGAATAAGAGGGAGGGGAAACTGTAATCGGGATATAGTGTATGAGAGAAGAATCTGTTTTCTTTTTTCAACATGTGGGACGGATTTTATTAGAGCATCTCACGGTGGCCAGAGCCAGTCTGTCTTCAAAACAATCACAGCACAGGGTGCTCATCACCCAGACTGCCTAGGGAGGCTGAACAGCAGAGTCTTACTGCTTAAGATACGCATATGCATAGTAACTGACGGACGCTGATGTCCCTCACATAGGAGTGTGTTAGCAGCAGCAAAGCTAACCATAACACCAAGCCCTCTACCTACCCCCTCCTCCCACTTATCTGGAAATGCAACTCAGTCATGTCTTCCTGGCCCCTAACTCATATTTCCTGTGCTGTCTCTGAGCATCAGTGCAGCCTAAATAAAGCAGCAGGGCCCAGACTGTGGCTTGATCATCATAGTGGATGCTTCCTTGAAGCTAGTCAGCACTTAGTCTCTTGTGACACACGTCATTGTCTGGGATTTAACTAGAAGGTAGCCGAAAAGGCAAGTGAAGGCTGCAGCTTGGCCCCTCTGGCCACACACCAACCCTCTAGACCTCAGCAGAGGAGGTGCATGCTTGGGGCACTAAAGTGTCTGCCAGAGATTCCTGGCAATCCTGAGCAGGTGGATGTCTGGGCCACAACTAGTTCAAGCCTGTCACTCAAGATTCAATCAAGTTTCTGTCTGAACACAGCAGAGGGAAGGAAATCGATTCAGAATATGTTTGTGCATGCAGGGAACAGAATGCAGGCCTCTGAGTGTCTGTGGAGCGATGAGCAATCAGTGAGGAGCCTCTCCCTGGAGGGCAGTGTCTGCCAAACACAGGCGCTGCCGGTGACAAGGTTGCTGAGCACATCCAAGTATAATCAGACATTTGTTCCAGTGAGGGGACCATATGTGCTCCAGACATGTAGTTAATTTGAGCATAATAGCCATTCAATGTATCTTCACAGGAACACAGGCCTTGGAGATACATACAACACACACACACACACACACACACACACACACACACACATTCCAACATCACTGTGTAGACTTCACTTTTGTTAGACAAGGATTTCAGTTTGTGGCATCCAAATGCAGACACATACATCTCACAGCCTTGGATTTGTTTGTGGATGTTTACATCTGGATTTTTTTCTTTCTCACCAACATTGCCGGGTCTATGTGCCATCATTCAAGAGCAGGGAAAGAACTGAACTCTTCGCATGAACAAGCTGGGTGGGCAATGTTCCTTTCATCTCTTTCTATGCTCCTTTTTCCTACCAAAGCACGACTGGGCCTCTAGAGCCAGACAACAGGAAACAGGCCCCGAGATCCTGCTCTAGATGGCTGTCAGCTCCTGCCCAAGAGAGTCATTACACAGGCTGTACAGGAGAGTGAGTCATCCCTCTCCAATAGGCTAGGGGGATGGGCAGCCATGAGAACCACAGAAAACCAAGGTATTCATTCTAAGTGGTCAGTTTAAAACAAACAACAGACTTAGTCAAACTCAAGAGAAAACACTGTGTGAGAGCCACGCTACAAGGCTGCCTTACCCAGGCCACACAATTTCTGCTGTCTACCTGCTTACAGAGGACAGGGAGAGACTGCAGACTGTGTTCAGGATGGGCGGTGACCACTGGTCACCTGGGAGCATAGACAAAGGACAGAGGTAAAGGGGGCTACATCTCAACCAGGCCCTGGCTCACAGAATGTCCAGGGCTGCCACTACCAGGCCTATTCACATTCTCTCCTCCCAGCCCAACAATAGCCAGACTCTTAGAAACTCAGCCTGGGGGAGAGCCGCAGAATTCCCTTGTCCAGAAGAGAATTCCTGCCTGCCCACTGACACAGCTCTTGTTTCCAGCTAGTCCTTATTATTTGTTTTTAAAGAACACAATATAAGCTCCTACACCTGAACCAGGCTGAAGTCAGCCAAAGCCTGTTGAGAAGGTGCCCCCTCGCCCAATGCACAGATGTGTACTTCCCACCCTGAGTTTGCCAGATCAAGTCCCTCAACAACCTGTCCATCGGCTCTCACCCTCCCACCAGACTAAACCAATGCCAGCTCTGCAGACACTGGTAGCCACAGGTGACAGTCACAGGTCTCTGACGGTTTCCTTCTTCACTCAGGGCCAAGAAAAATTGTCTCTCCCAGACTGAGACACAGTGGCATTCTTACAAATCCACCGAGGTCCATCTTGGAGTCTGACCCCAGCCTCAGTCCTAGGGAGTTTTCCAGACACGTTTCTCAGCCAAGCAGAGAAAAGTCAAGTGCAGAATGAATCCCAGAACCAGCCTCTTGGTCTACTACAGTACTATGCCTTTGTGGGAGAGACAAAGCATCTGCACCCCAAGTTTGTATCTGGAGATGTGGGAAAAGTGGGACAGAAGGGAAAAAATAAAAGGACAAAGTGGCTGTACCACTTCTAGAGGTCACTTAATGCTGTCTTGTGGGTGTCCCCTACCGTGGTTGTTTGTCAAGCTCTCTGCTGCTGGCAGGGCCTGTTCTACCTGGCAGGGGTGGGGGTGAGGTGGAAGCTGCTGCACTGTGAGTTTGGTGAGTCCTATTCGGTGATGGTGTTTAGCAGCAGGCACCAAGGCAGTGGTGGCCGGTGGGGGAGCCCAGGTTCTCAAGCCTACTACTCAGAAGACAGGCAGAGCTCTATGCGACAACCGTCACAGGCATCCAGGGGCCCATCCAGGGCATCATCTATGAATGTATTTGAATTCTTTGAGACCATCATCATGGTGGCCCCAGTTGCACACACACACAACTCAATACCTGCATCATCTAAGAAGCAGTGATGCCTGTCAGGTTTCTTGTTTTTGCTGTCAGGTTCTGGGAGGGTGGTGAGGGGGTACAGTACCATGCTCAGAACTTGAAACTTTCAATAGCTTCCCCTTACACTCCAAATCCCTGTTCAGTAAGGCCCCTAAGTCCAGCTCCCCATGGCCAGGCACTGAGCCACTGGACAAAGGACTACACTGTGCTCCCTGGGAGCCCTGGGGTAGGTCAGCACATGGGTGTCTACCACCTGCAGGGCCACCCTAAGGAAGCAGCAACCTCTCCCCTTGTGGCTGGAAAACCCTGTATGATGGGGGGGGGTTGTAGGTAGGCTCACTCCTCCCAACAGGTAAGGGCTCCCATGAGGAGTCAGCAAAGCTTGGCACATTAAGTTGGGGCGCATTAAGTCCCTCCCCACTGCATTAAGATTGAGCATGTCAACCCCTCATAGGGAATGGACTCCAACAAGCTAGCTCATGCACCGGGGATAGAGCCTGGTCCTACTGCCAGGGGCCCCTCAGATAGCCCAAGCTTCACAACTCTCCCACAGGCAGAAGGCCTAGTTCGGTTCCATGGAGGCTGCACAGAGTTCATGAGAAGGCCTAGTTCGGTTCCATGGAGGCTGCACAGAGTTCATGAGTTTCCATGAGCTTGGTTCAACTGTGTCTGTAGATTTTTCCATCATGATCTTGACCTCTCTTGCTCATATAATTCCTCCTTCCCCTCTTTGACTGGACTTGCGGAGCTCTGCCCAGTGCTTGGCTGTGGATCTCTGCATCTGCTTCCATCAGTCACTGAATGAAGGCTCTATGGTGACAATTAGTGTAGTTCAATCTGATTGGGGGGGAGGTAAGTTCATGCACCCTCCACTATTTTAGCTGGGGTGGGTCATCCTTGTGGATTTCTGGGAATTTCCCTAGCATCAGGTTTCTCCCTAACCCCATAGTGGGCTGAGGGAGAGGAAAAAGGGGTGGGACGGAGAGCTGTGATTGGAAAGTAAAATGAAATTTTAAAAAATAGGGTACTTTTAAAAATTATGTTCCGATCCCAGGCCCATTTCTTGAATGAGACATTTTTGACTGCTTGTTTTAGTTCTTTATATTCTAGATAGTAATCCTCAGTCAGATATATAACTTGCAAAAATTCTCTCCCATTTTGTGAATTTCCTGATTGACTGTTTCCTTATCTGAACAGAAACTTTTTAGTTTTCATGAAATCCCACTTGTCCATTGTGGCCTTATTCCTTGGGCAAATGGTGTGCTTATTCAGAAAATCCTGTTCTACATCTATATCATGCAGGGTACTACTGCCTATATTTTCTTCTAACAGTTTCAGTTGGGGTTTCACATTTAGGTCTCAGATCCATTGGAGTTAGTTTCTGTGCAATACGATATTACAGGTCTAATTTCACTCTCCTGCATGTGGGCACCCAGGTTTCCCAACACCATTTATTAAAGATGCTTTCTTTTCTCCAGCTTGTTTTGGCATTTTACCAAATATTAAATGGATGAAGTTATATGCACTCATATTTGGGTCTTTGATTTTGTTCCTTTGGTCTTCACATCTGTTTTTCTGTCAATACCATATTGTTTTTAGTACTATGGCTCTGTAATATATCTGAAGGATTAGAATGGTATGGTAATAACTGCAACATTGTTATTTTTGCTCAGGTTTGTTTTGGCTATATAGATCTTTTGTAGTTCCATAAGAATTTTAGGATGATTTATTTCTGTAAAGAGTGGGATGGAGATTTGGACTGAGATTGTATTGAATCTATGAGTTGCTTTTGGTAAAATTGTCATTTTCACAATATTAATTCTTCCAATCTACGTGCATGGGGTGTGTTTCCATTTTGTAGGATCTTTCTCTCTCTTTATTCATAGGTTTAAAGTTTTCACTATAAAGGTATTTTAATCTCCTTGGTTAGACTGATTCCTAGACATTTTATTTTGAGGCTATTTATGAGTGAGAGTGTGTCCATAATCTCTATGTATGTTTTGTTGGTTTATAGAAAAGCTATTGATTTGTGGAAGTTGATTCTGCAGTCAACTTGCACAAATCTATACCCCCTCTGCAAATCGATTCTGTATCCTGACACATTGATGAATTTGTTTCTAGAAGTTTTCTGGTAGAGTTTTTGAATCTCATATGTAAACCATGTCATCTGCAAATAGGTACAGTCTGGCTTCTCTTCCTATTTGTATACCTTTTATTTCCTTCTCTTGCATTATTACTCCACCTAGTGCTTTGACCACAGTATTGAAAAGGAGCAAAAGTAGTGGACAGCCCTTTCTCAGACACGATGACAGTGAGATTGCTTCAAGTTTTTCCTCTGTTTAGGGTGATCTTAGCTGTGAGTTTATTATTATATTGAGGTATGTTCCCTCTACTTATACTTCATCCTGGACTTTTATCATGGCCATCTATTGAGATGATCATGCAATTTTGTCTTTATCCCCATTTATGAGGTTTATTACATTTATTGACTTGAATTCCAGAGATAAAGTCATTGTGGCCATGGTGGATAATCATTTTTCTGTGTGTGTGTACTCTATTCACATTTATTAAGCATTTTTAATTTATAATCCTCAGCTATATTGGCCTGTGGTTTTTGTTTCTGGTTTTGTCTTTACCTGTTTGATTTTAGATTGATACTGGCTTCATAAAAAGAGTTTGGAAGTATTCTATGTACATATGTGTACACACACACACACACACACACACACACACACACGCATGTGCACATAATTAAAATGTATATTTACTTATATATCATTGTTTTGAATTATTTAAATTATTTAAATGTATTTATTGCTTATATTTGGCATTAATAAATATATATTTAAATTTGGGGATTGTTTATAGATCTTCTTTGAAGACCTGAGAGAACCCTACCATGAATTCACTTGAGCCTGGGCTTTTTTTTATATGTAAGGCTTCCCATGACTCTTTTGGTTTCATTTGTTATGGATCTGTTCAGGTTGTTGTCATCTTCTTGCTTTAATTTTGCTAATTTAGCTAAATCTGGAATTCATCTATTTCTTTTAGGATTTTTAGCTTAATGGATGACTGGTTTTTAAGGTATTCCTTTATAATATTATGAATTTCTTTAGTGTTTGATTATTTTCCCTGCTCATTTCTAATTCTGTCAATTTGGGTCCTAGCTTTCTTTTGTTTAATTGAACCACCAGCCTGCCAATGATTTTTCTCTTCTCAGAGCACCAGCTCTTAGATTTGCTGATTCTTTGTACTGTTTTCTATTTTATTGATTGCTGCTCTGGTTTTTATTACTTCTTGCTGTTTTGAACTTGGTTTATTTTTATTTTTCCAATTTTTTGAGTTGTACCATTAAACCATTTTATTTATCTTTGATATTTTTGTTGCTGTTTTATTTGTCTATCTCACCCATTGATTTAAAGGACTTGAGAAAGTTTCCTCTGCCCTAAAATTCATCCCATGAGCACACTAAGTATTACTTCTCCAGCAAATATACCTCCATAATAATTAAATCATTACACAAGGAAACAGGCAACTTTTCTGGTTTTTTGCTGTATTGTTCACAAGTATATCAGTATCACAGTAAAACAGATCCAAACACATAATTACACATGTTAAAAGTCTACTCAAATAAGATACACGGATGTGACAGTAACATTCACAATTCATTGGCAGTTAATTCAGTAACAATGAAAGTAGCCAAATTCTCCTGAAGGTTATTTGGACTACTCTTATTTAAATATCATCCACACTGAAAAATCAAGTTCTTATTTTCTAATATCCAGGGAAAGATGTGGGAACTAAGACATAAAACAAGGGAGAAAGGGAATCAATAACTTAATATAGACTATCACAGTTTGTCCCTAGCTCTGATAAAGCAGGAAATTTTACTTAGTAATTGACAGTGACACAAAATTCCCACCAGGCACTTCATTTCTTCACTCACCCAACCCCCAACACAAAAGACTTCTGACTTCTGGTAATTCATTGTACATAAAGGCAAGGATGTACGAAGGAAACACAGCAGCATAAGCAACAGGTTTTTGTTTTCAAGTCAAGGTGGCCAAAATTTCCTAGTTCAAGACCCAAATTTGCTCCTTAGTTTATGGGCGTGGCCTTGAACCAGTCATTCAACCATTTCAAGTCCATCTAGACTGTTAGTTTCACAAGAGAAACAAGACAAAACGCTAGTTTCACAAGACAAAACAAAAATTCTTCATCCTCCTGACTCACTGGTGTAAGCCATCTGTGTCAAAACACTGGAATGTCAGTTTCTTTTTTAACACAATAAATATTAACAGGACTTGTCTCACAGCATCAAATGGAGGCATCCATGAGATTTATATATATAAAGCTCTGATACAGTGATTGATCATGGTACATGCTTAATTGTAAGTTATTGGCACTAATTAGCAGCTATCAAACCTGAAAACAGTTTGAAAACGTTCAAACAGCAGTATGTAAGGTTGTTACCCACCAAATGTAAATGCTCAAGTGTGCACATATTTATTCCACAGAAATCTAATAGCTTCTATATCGGGATTCGCTAATGCAATAAATGAATCCCGAATTGTGGAACAGACCTAATCTACTACAAGGCATTCAGCAGACTCCAAGCTTTTCTACGTCAAAACAGGCCTTAAGCACAGGGCCTAGTGGCTTCCCAGTCTCCCCGGCTGCTAAGGGAACCCCACTCCTCCGTGCACAAGGGGGGAGAAAGCCTCGGGAGGGCGGGGGGGGGGGCCGGGGTTGGGGAAAACTAGGATCCCTGGGGCCTAGTCATCCAGATCCACCTCAAGCACGATGGACCCCGGCAGCTGGTTAACATCTAGGGCTTCGGGGAGCTCCCGATGGTAGTCGCAGGGGGTTTCAGAGATCTTCTGAGAATCGGCGTCACGGCTGTCAGGCTGCGGCTGGGCGGACCAGTGGGCGATGCCTCCAGCACGGAGGGCGTCTCCTGCGGCTTCAAGGAGGTCACACTCCGAGGCAGGAGAGGCAGGCCTGGTGCTGAGCGGTGTCAGGGGCTGCTCCGGGGTGTCGCAGCATCCTGCATCCAGCGGCTGCATCAGAGAGCCGCCTCCCCCCACAGGACCTCCCCCGCCGCCGCAGCGGGGAAAGATGTAGTCGGGGACCCCAACCCCCCTGCGCTTGCACACGATCTCGGGGGGCATGGGGTACTCGGGCTGCTGCGGCAGAGCCTGGAAAAGATGCGCGGCGGCCGGCGGCCCCAGAAAGCTCAACGGCCCCATGCTGGCCAGGAAGAGGCTGCGGCCCTGTTGCTCCCAGGCGGCGGCGGCGGCCAGCCCCAGCTCTTTGCAACGGGTCGCGGGCGAGGAGGCCGAGGAGGCGGCGGCGGCGGCGGCCGATGACAGCAGGAATCGGCGGGCGGCCGCGGCGCAATCCTCCGCCGCCAGGGCCGCGTAGCGCGGCTCCAGGTGCGGCAAGGGGGCGGCGAAGGCCCTGTCCCGCAGCGGCAGCGGCGACAGCGGCGGCTCCTCCTCTGGGCCGGCGGGGGCGGGCCCGGCGGGGCTGTGCACGATGAAGCACAGCATGCAGGGCCCGCGGAAGAAGCAGTCCCGGTTTCGGGGAGCCGGGGACTGCGGAGACTGCGGAGACTGCGGGGGGGACGCCTTGGCCTGCGGAGACGCCTTGGCCTGCGGAGACGCCTTGGCGGGGTTCCGTCCCGGCAGTCGGATGAGAGGGCGCCTGCGGCGACACCAGCTGCAGCAGCGAGGCTTCTTCTGGCTCTGCCGGTTGCGAGGCTCCTTGGACAGAAAGTGGCCCATGAAGACGGCCCCTAGGCGGGAGACACGAACTGCGTGAGAAGAAGGCCCAAGAGACGGGCTCAGGTGGCCGCCTAGGCCGCTGGCTGACTGGGCCTCTGCCCGCCTGGCACAAACGACGACACGGGTGGGCGTCAGCTGCAGGTGGCCAGATGCGAGCTACATAGTTTGGCCCCGGAGCCGAGAGAAAGATGGGCCCGAGCCGTGCAAAGTCGAGGCAGGAAGCGAGCAGGTCGCTAGGCCAGGCGGCTCAGTCAATCAGCGCGGTGGTGGGGGCAATGCCAGTCTTGCTCAGACCACACTGCAGCTCCGCCAACGACGCGTGTGCCTGCGACACGACAGGAGCCGCAGGAGCACACCACCCACTCCAAGAGGGGGCGGAGCCGGCCTTGGGGGCGCGCTGGAGGGGGGAGGATGGAGGAGGGAGGGGGGCGGTGGAGGAGGTGGGGG